TTTTTTTTGTGGATATTTGCAGGGACCCAAAATTTTCGATTCATTTTACTTTTAGTATAATTAACAGATGTGCCCAAAACTATTTTATCTTTCACCCTCACGAGGCGAAGATAACTAAACCCCATGACAGATTACATGGTCTTCAGGAGTTTGCCCTGTATTTGTTTAAGTTAATCATTTATATAGCACCTTTTGTCATGATATATAGATTGTGAGATGGCTTATGGAGCAAAACATAATAAAACGCGTAGTTCAGGGGGTTCAGTGTGATTTACTCTTACGAAAACTGGAGCATTTTGCTATTAGGCAAAGATATCAGGGCTTACTTTCTGCTCAAAATTGATGTCATGCTTGTTTTGATTTTTTGTCATGGCAGATAATAATAACATTAGCAAAACCAGAGGCTTCATGATGGATTTCGGCAGTTACACACAGCCATCCATCACGAGCAGAAGCTCATTCCTGAGCTCGACACCTGCACGGGAAGGATTAACAAATCGAGCTGCCGCCATGTCAGCAAAACTCGAGCTCCCAATGCCAAACAACCCACAAAACTCCCAACGGCCCGACTTTGTTACAAGCAGGCCAAGTTACTCCTCTCCTGTCGTGTCCGAATGTTACGGTGGAGCTGCAGACTCCAACAGTGCTCTCTCTCTTCTGTCAAATCAGGCCTGGTCTGGCCCAAAAGGCCATCTTGGGCTGAACAGCAATTTTCTCTGTCAGCTGTCCGAAAACCCCAGCCCGACTGCTGCTGGCCTGTTCATCTGTCCCTCGTGGGGTTTTAAGGGCGACGAGGGTAATGGGCCTAATGGTGGCTTAAATGGAATGCCGCCTCATTTGGGCTTGGGCCAGGCCCCAAATGGTGGGTACAATGGACTACTTGAGCTGGGCCAGCCGAACGAGGGGGGGTTTCATGAACTGGATCAGTCGAGAGGGTATGGCTCATCTGTCCAGCACGTGCATTGGTCCCTCTGAGTTGTTCTTTATGTCGTTTGTTTTTCTGTGATTTGGATTAAGAAGACTTTTGTGGGCTTTTGCCGATCGTTTGTGTTTGAATGATGTTTCTCGCTTTCTCTGCACTAAATCAATTGCTACTATGAACTTCTGTTTGAGTGAAAATCGTGATGTTTGTATTGCATCATAAAATGCGTATTTTCGTTTTTAACAATTTCTGCTATATTCAGTCACAAGATCATACTAACTACAAATGCTCGAGATCAGATTCAAATTAGACAAAATTATCATTGAATTTCAGAAGTAGATAACAAGATGTCAACATTACTTCCTTACTACAGAGGATCAAAAAGGGAGGGTAGTTTTATATTTCCCCCAACAATTTGGCTACTAGTACTAAAATGTGATAGTAGCCTCACAGGACCAAGCTTCACTTGAATGTAAAATTAAAAGTTAAAACAAAACAAAACAACATTCCCTTGTGAAGCAGCTCATCTCTGAATGACATATCCTCTAGAGATATTTCCAGCTCAGTAGAAGCTAAAAAAATCCGGTCAAAATCTGATGAGACTAAGGAGGATTCGGGCTGTTATCCATGGGCATGAAATCTAATGGTCGTCCTCATTAATCCCCGGACAGTTCGACTCCAGTTCCTCCACTGTGTCATACTGCAAAAGTTAAAAAATGGGTTCAACTCCAATTAAGCATTTTGATGTAATTTTTTTTTTAATGACCTAACAAGTGTGTTCGTATTTACCTTACATCCACAAAAGAGACAGTACAGGAACTCATTTCGCAGCTTAAGCAAAATATTAAGCAGATCCTGCAGCAGAGGAAAGATAGAAGGAGTCACGAGCAATGATCGAAGCATACCAAGAGCTATTAAAGTACTGGATTTCAAATCAAGAGACTCAGAGCGGTATCTGACTCAAAAACTAAGCGTAAGTACACTAAAATGAGTTTTTAAGCAGTAAAACATGGGCTATAAGAGGCATTACGACTCAGTACACAGTCTTCATTGTTGTTTTGGTCATCCTATTCTTAATCAAGTGTTCCCTTAATTCTAGGTTCCAGTGTCCTGCCTATTTCCTCGGTTCAATTGTTCCGAAAGTTCAAAATGGGTAAATTCAGAAATTCACGCCAGCACAAATAAAAGAAAACCTGCGCATGATCTAAGCATACAGGAAAAACATCGCCTTTCAACATATCAACTTCTAAATCCTACTAACAATCAGCCACACTATCAGATATCAGACCCATATGGGAAAAACATTTTACAATAATAAACCATACAATGCACGTAAAAAACTTTCAAACAAATATACCTCTTCTGTAATTTCTTCTTCTTCTTCTTCCTCATCTTCCTTTTCCTCTTCACCATCTTCCTTCTTTTCCACCTCAAGAACGTCCCTGTTTTCCAGCTGTGCTAGCACAGAATCAGCCTTATGAAAATTAACCACGGTCCTCCTTCCTTTCCATCTCTCCTTCTGACGGCTCCCAAAATCTTCCATCAACTCCTCTTCTTTTCTCTTCTTCCTCTCCTCATTTCTCTTCTCTCTCCTTGCCTTTTCTATTTTTGGGTCCTCTTTGCCGATCCCCGCTCGGCCCCTTCTTATTTCAACCGAAACAGGTTCAGCCCTTCCTGAGCCTTCCTTGCCTAATGCCGAGCCCGGAGTGTAGCCCATTTGCTTTAGCAGTTTGAAACCGATGTTGGATTGCGGTATAGCCGAGCCCAAGTTTTCCAGCGTTTGTTTGTCCTCTTCGATTTGTTTTCGTTCTCGTTTGAGCTTTTTCTGTTCTTGCCAGTTTAGGGCTTTCGGTTTCTTGCTTGAGGAACTCGGTGCTACTGGACCCTATGAAGAAACAAACAAAACAACTAAAAATGAATTTCAGCTGGAACAGCTCAACTCGACACAACCCAATTAACTGAAACGCATAAAATTCATGAATACCTAAATTAACTAAGTTTGAATGTAATCCTCCAAATTAATGACACTGGTCACATGTTAATTTAATTTTATTTTTTTCAAGCCCCAATTTCGATCTCCACAAGGACTAATTTCGATTCAACCATCGGAAGAAGAAAAAAGCACTCATCTTTACGACGCAGAACACGCAGACGACATAAACAAAGCATGAAAACGACAAAAAACAAAGTGAAGAACCAAATGGGGTTTTTGTAATCCCCATTCTGCAACTAGGGTTTTCTCACATGAACTTGCGAAAAAAAATGCATAAGAATCTATGGGGATTTTAAGACAAGCAAAGAAAGTATGAACCAGTGACCTTCTTCGACGAGGATCGAGAAACTTCCGGCGGCAGAAACTGCGAGAGGTCTCCCATATAATCATCGTCCTCCTCTTCTCCAGCTCCGGCCATTGTTTTCTCACCTGTGGAAACTTTCTCTGTTTTTGATCACGGCTAAGCTAAAAAACTTGCGCTTATTTATTTTGTTCAAAGTTTAACTAGAGGGGAAATGGAGATTTTGAAAATAATGATAAAAACCCAAAATCCTACTCGAACAAAACTTGTTTGAGTTGTTTGTTAATCTATATTTGTAAATCTTAATTTAATAACTTTAAAAAATAAAATGGGTTAATTGCATTTAAAATCCTAACACTATGCTCAATTGCAAATAAAACTCAACTTTTTTATTTTGATAAAAACAATATCAAACTTTTAATAAGTATTGCAATTGAGTCTCAAAGGCAGTTTCCGGCCAAGGCACGCCGGAAAATGAGCTCGGGGCTGCTGTGCACAGAGGGAAAGCCTAGTGAAGGAGCTTACTGGAAGTCGAGCTCGCGGCTGGAGGAAGCTCGCCGGAGAGAGAAGTCGGCGTCGGGGAGAGAACGTCGTGGGGGTCGGCCGGAAATTTGCGAAGAAGATGATCTGAAAAGTCGTTGCCGAAAAGAGTCACAATTCCGGCGAAGGTGAACGTCACTAGATGCGGCTTTACAAGAGGATTTCAACGGTACCTTCGAATTCACATTGGTCAAAGCGAGTCACCGAGAATTTGCGAAAGAACGCCGGAGAAAGTTTGTAGATCTACGAGCTTTGACCTGAAAATTGGAAGCCTTATTGTCGGAACTTTGTCGTGAAACTCGGATATGTTGTCAGTACGGAGGAGAGCTACATGATCATTTAAAAATTTTCAACATCCGACGAAGTTGGCAGGCGGCGGATGGCGGTTGGCGGCGGTCCAACGGCGGCGGAAGGTGATTGGCGGCCGGAAATTGATTTTGAGACACAGTTGCAATACTTATTAAAAAGGTTTGATTTTTTTTTTTTTGTCAAATTGAAACAGTTGAGTTTTATTTACAATTGAGCAAAATTTATGATTTTATATGCAGTTAACCCAAATAAAATTATATATCCATAGGTATGACATCTCTTTAGTAATAAAGTTTGAAGTGCATATTTTTTAGTTATGTTTTTTAATTTTATTTTCAAGCTCAAACTAATTTCGAGTGAATCAAATAATTTTATATACTAAATTATTCAAACAAAAATAAACTCAAATTTTGACTAATAATTAAATCTATCGGACTTGATCATGAAATAACAAACTATAACAATGTTCAAATATACTCAAAATGAAACTATAACAATGTTCAAATATACTCAAAATGTTTAAATTCAACTCGTTTACTTAAGAGCATCGCCAATGGTGTCTTGCCTATGTCGAGTTGCATGACATGAAGGAATGAAATTAAGAAATAGTGCCGTAGATGTTAAAGGTGGTTTAATTTGACAAGTGTAAATTTATAATTGGTTAAAAAAATAAAAAATAAAATAAATAAATAGTATAATATATAATAGAAGTTGTCTAGAGGTACTTTTAAATGTAGAAAAGACTTCTAGAATTTTTTTAGGCCACATAAAATCTAAAAATTGGACAATCCAAAGACCATTCGAGATGCTCTAAACTTATAGACTAGAGATTGATGCTTCTGGATAACAGTACACAAACAATTGTCTGGTGCAAATTTCAACTGCAGGCTTATCAACAGATATCAACAGATAGCACAAAATCCTAGCTCATCATCTGCAGAATTTATAACACATCATCACCATAAAATTATCCCTATCCCTGTCTATCTAATACAAAATACAAGTTGTTTGCAAATAGAATAACCATTAAAAAAAAAAAAAAAACTATTCCAATTCCAAGGACAGAACACAATCATCGTCATCCAAAATCTGCAACCACAACTCCTCTACAATGGCAAAAATCCTATCCCTCTTAGGATGCAATCCATCCTCGGCCGAAAACACGTGAATCCCATCCTTGTCCTCGATCCAGCTCCGGCCCGGGACTTTCCTCACGCCTTTCTCTCTCATCGAACTCCTCAAACCCGCCACGTCATTCCACTCGCCCGCCGAGGCATATAAACCGCAGAGCAAAACGTGCGCAGCCGAATTCGAAGGATCCATCGTCAAGATATTCTCGGCCGCCCTTCTCCCAACCTCATTTTCTCCAAAGTTCTTACACGCGGACAAAAGTGCTTTCCACATCACAATATCAGGCTCGAATCCCATCCGAGCCATGAAAGCTTCTGCCTCGTGAATCCGACCCGCCCGAGCCAGCAGATCGATCACGCACGAGTGGTGCTCCTTTGTGGGGCCCACACCATGATTTTTTTCCATGGACTCGAATAATCGCATTCCTTCATCCACGAGCCCCACATGGCTGCATGCCGTCAGAACACCCACAAAAGTCACCTGGTTCGGCTTCACGCCTCCATTTTTCATTCTCAGGAAAAGATTGAGCGCTTCCTGCCCGTGGCCATACTGCGCGTACCCGACAATCAAACTGCTCCACGAGACAACATCTGGATTCCTCATGCAGTCGAAAAGCTTCCGAGCCCTCTCGAGGGCCCCGCACTTGACGAACGTATCGAGAAGCCCATTCACGACCATTATGTCCGAGTCGAGCCCGGTTTTCACGACCCAGCAGAAAACTTGGGCCCCCGTTTCTAAAGAGGCGATTTTTCCACAGGCCCCAAGCACAATGGCCAAAGTAATGCGATCGGGCTTGCCATGAACTAACAGCATCGTCTTAAATAACGGGAAAACTTCATTTACCTCGTGCTGACGCGCACACATGGTAAGTATAGCATTCCAGGAGACTAAATCAGCATTGCCCTGAATTTCGTCGAACATTCTATACGCATTTTCGAAATCAGAGCAATTAGCGTACATGGTGAGTAAAGTATTACATACGGGAAGGTCCAGACTGAACCCGATTTTTATTATAAAAGAGTGAACTTGTTTCCCTTGAGATAAGGAAAATGGATCTGTGAAGCCACAAAGTAAAGAACGAACAGTGATGTCATCCGGGGCAAACCTTAATTTTCTCATCTGGGAGAAAATTGACAGGGCTTCATTTGCATCACCTCCGTATGCAAAGCCCGCAATAAGTGCATTCCAGGACACTTTATCGGGATTTTCTATCAATCCAAACGATTTTCTGGCCGAATTAAACAACCCGCATTTTGCATACATATCAGTTAGCGAGCAACCAGCAAAAGCATTGCTTTCGAACCCATATTTAATAGTAAGCCCGTGTATTTGTTCTCCGCATTCTGGCTGACCAACTGAGCCACAGGCACTGAAAACGCTGCCAAAAATAAATTCGTTCGGTTTGTACGTACTCAGACACAGAAATTCCTTGAAACAGCATAAAGCGTCCAATTCGTAACCAAGTTTTGAAAACCCAGCAATCATTGAACTCCATGAAATTAAATCATTTGACTTCATGTGGGAAAACACATCGCGGGCCTCATTAATTTGACTGAACTTGGTATACATTGCAATAAGAGCATTTTGAGCTATTAAGTGAGAACCAAATTCGGATTTAATTACCTGCCCGTGCAATTGAACACCTAAAGCAGCCTTAGCCAGACTTGCACAAGCTTTAATCACACTCCCGAACGTAAACTGATCTGGGATAAAACCAGACTGCTGCATTTGGATATACAAATTTATGGCTTCAATGTCGAGACCATTTTGTGAGTAACCAGCGATTAAAGCAGTCCAGCTCACCTCATTTCTCATCTGCATATTGTCAAAGACATTCGTGGCATCTTTTGTCGAACCGCATTTTCCGTACATATTGATAATATGGTTCTCGAGGATGATATTGGGAAGAAAATTAGAGTTCGAGATGTGGTTATGAATTTTTCTTCCATATTCTATTGATCTCAAAGACGAGCATGCAAATATCAAATGAGTATAAGTACTTGGATCTATCAGGAAATCTGCATTCTTTTCTAATGCGTCAAAGGCCCGAAGGGCATCTTTGAAAAGCTTCTGCTTGCACAAGGAGCTTATGTAGACACTAAACGATTGTTCATTCTTGAAACTAGGATCTGCAACATTTTGCAAAGCATGGCTGACACGATTATATGAACATCTCAAAGTAGAATGGAATCTTTTTATCATTTTCTGGTGGGAGATAAGCTCGTATATTTCCTCAAGCTCATTTCTCTCCTTACTCTACCCTTCAAATGATCAGTTGGATTCCAACCATTGTCCTGCATTGTACCAAGCAATAACATTATTAAAAAAAATCAAGAAGAGAAATGCAGAAAATATTAAACAAACTTAACAAATTTATTTAAAAATCTCATGAGAACTATTTTACGTCTCGATCTTTATCAAGGAAATGGCGTTGCTACGAGTTCTCCACGATAGATATCAAATCCGATAACATATCACAGAACCGAAAGAATAATGCAATAAGGGAAGAGTTCTCATGAGTATTCAAACAAGTATCAGCAATACCAATGATATCCATTTACTGGAATCATCACCATCACTCATCAGCACACATGAACTAGATTCATTAAAAATGGCCTCTGAGGAGTTACGTCGAGCAGGTTGCGTGCAAATGAAAAAAACCCAAGTCTCTCTCATACGACCTCGACCTGTGAAGCCAATACAAACAGAGAAAGGTACAATTTGTAGAGGAAATCAGGCTCAGGTTTTATTTAAAAGCTGAACACAGAGACTATCAAAATTAACCTCAGTGATAAATTTATCGGCTACAAAGAGCCGGTGGAACACAAAAAGGGATGGAAACTCCGAACATGAAGAAGAAGAAGAGGCTGTTCGCCTGTTGCTGGGCCTTGTTTAGTCATTTCACAAGGGGAAAATTTAAAAAATTAATCCAATAAGTTTAGGCTCATAGCATTTTTCAATTATTATTATTTGATAATTTGGTATGATCATTGATTTTAATAAATAATTTTTTTTTTTTGTATTGAAATATTTATTTGTTTGATTTATTACTATATATTCATTTATTTATATATGTTTATTGCATATTAAAATATATTTCATTAGGCATTTTTTTTTTTTTTT